AAATTATCTATAATAGTAATATAAAGGATTAAAAATGAAGAATCATATATCTACTCTTCACACTGCTAATAATCATATATCACAATGTGTGAAACATACAAGGATCCTTTGATTCACCTTTTTATACTATTATATCTTTAGTATATATGGTTTTCATTAATTGTATTGTTCAATTTTTTTGGAACAAAAACATAATCTCTACTGTGTTAATATGATTTTATATATATATAAATATATATATAAATACATATATATGTTAATATTGGATAATTGGGGACGATAATAACAAAGCAATTCCTGAAATCCCGAGTCTCACCTTCAATCTTATGAATGCAACATAGCAACAATTGTTTTCATGTCTTTAGTATATTTTGTCAAAGTGTGAGTTATTTCAGTGGATTGGTTGTATCTAATATTCTTTTTGAAATGTGCTATGCGCAGTAAATAAATGGGCACACTGCTTGCATACATGCAGTTATAACAATTATGTACATAAAAATAACCTTCTGCTCTTGTGTCAATGACTTGTTTTCGTCTTCCTGAATATTTGTTATCCATGCGAATAATAAAATCATCAAACAGTGTACCATTTCCCAGTGAGTTTTCCCTAGTGGCGTTTCCCAGATACAAATAGGATTGTACCTACATGATAAACGAAAATAATATTTACGGCCAAAGAATTTCTTTCTGGATTTACTTTATAAATCATACGAATGGCCGTATACAAATCATAGGGATATTGTTCACTATAAAAGTATTCATCCACATCCTGCGAAATGATGTATTCGAAATAGTTACGATGCCTGTAATAACAACTATTTATTTGGCTACCTTGAATTGAACGCTGATATGCTCCGTAGTTCTTCGTTAATGGCCAAGGATATTCATAAAGAATAACATATCCACTTTGAATCTCTTTTTTTAATGCGTTTTTGAAAATATCACAATTTACGGTACAATACAAAATGATATTATCGACTTTTTGTAGTATATAGTATGCTAAGAATGATTTGATCTCATTAATTGTATTGTAATTTGAAATATAGGCACAAATAGCAATCTTTCTCTTAGGTTGGTAAATAAGAGCTTTATAGGGTAGATTATAATAACTATTATTTGTTGAACTATCAAATAATGATATGGTTCCAAATACTGGTAATTGTGGCACTTGATACTTTAGAACTCTTAAATGGATATCTCTGACCTCTTTAAAACTATTATAATATAGATTGCTTCCAATAAGTAATAATACGTTAACACTTCTCAATTCTCTATATTTGATATCTCTCACATTGCCGTTATTGATAATAATAATAATTTCCCAAGAATTGTTTCTCTTTGATACGATAATGTCATTAACTAATGGAATGTCAGTATTATTTTGAGCCTGACGAAGCCTTTTGGCAAAAGAATAGTCCACACGTAGTTTTTCTCTTCGAATATTAAATCTATCTGTAGCATTTATATCAATTCTGTATTCTGTTTTAGCTTTCTCATCAGCAACATTATTCAGACTTGTAATAACAGTATTTTGATTATAACTGTTTTGAATTGTATTTGCCGTATTGTAAATTCCATTAGATGAAGAATGCCTTATTTCCCGTTCAATAACCGTTTTGATTGAATTATCAAAATATGTGTAGGTAACAAGAAGATAGGTAATTTGAGAACAAGTTATTATCGTATAATACAAATATCTAATAATAATATATCAAATAAACTAACAATAAAGAAGATAATATCATCCAATAGAAAACCTCAACGCTATAATAAAAAAATATTATCAAATATGGTAACTGTTACAGATTCCAATAACAAGTTTTATTGTTTGGAAATTGTATTATGATGGAGATAATAAAACTATGTGAAGGTGATTTCTTCGTTGTATTCTATATGTATTTCTTAATATATGAAGGTATAGAAAAGCAACTGTGACAACTGTAACTAATATTGAATACTTGGGGCAGATAACCAAATTAAATTATATAAGAATTAATCTGGATAACGTGATATTAATGTTATATTTATTTTTTATTTGTTATTTTTATTTGATCATCTTTCTATTGGATTTACAATGAAATGTACACTTGTTATAATGTGTTACCTAATAACTACTGTGAGAAATACTACACGAAGAAAGAAGGGAAAATAGGATATATTTTTCAAAATTAAAAAGAACAGACAGTTCAGAAATTATACCCAATCAGTAAAATAGAAATATGAAAGGTACTTAGTAAAATGAGTACAATAGATAATGGTAAAATTAAAAACATAAAATCATTTCATTCTGTTTTCTATTCTTTATTGTCAATTATATTGCAATATAAATTCCCAATTTTACTTTGTTATATGAACGAAACAAAATACAATAATATAGAATTCAATCAGCTGTTGTAGCAAGAATTTTATGATTCAATTCGAAATAATTATCAATCACTATTAAATACATTTTTACAATCATATAAAGAGTATTTTACTAATTGATGAATGGTATCATGCTACACAGTATTTGCTGATATATTTTAGATTTATTATATTACTGTAAGTTGTTGTGTACTTTAATAAAGCACTATACATATTGAATACTACTCTTTGGTATATGACATGGAGACACTAACAATGATAATTATAAGTACATTAAAGGGTATTCGTATTGTTGTATACTCTTTCTTTTAGTATTTTTACATACAAAGCTTATTTTTTAAAGCAACACAAATGTCATATATAGCCATGTTTGTTTTCTCACTATTATCAAAAGTAGAATTAATCAATGTTTTTAGGAATTAATGGATAAGCAGTCTAGTGAAGACCATTCTTATCATACTATTGTAAGATATAGAGCATTTGAGAATAATGAATAACGACAATTATACGTTTATCGATGAGTATCCGGTGACAACAATTCAGAAAATTCTTTAACTTCTTTATCAGCAGTTTTCACAGTAGCACATATCCAGAATTCAAAACAAGAATTAATGGTATTGCTAACTTATAATTCTCATTTTATCTTAAATCTCTCACATCAATTATTCTTTATTAGATAGAAAATAATACACATTGATTTTCAACTTATTATTTATTATATGATATATCACACACATTTAATTATCAACCAGTTTACAATGAATAATAATATACAAATTGGCATTCGATTAGACTTTTATTTATATATCTAATACCTTTCATAATAAAAATACAAAATAATATTTGTTTTACTCTCATAAATTAGAATTATTGCCTATTTTAACATTGATTATTACTAGTATTTGCAGTCATTTTTCCAATGTAATATTCATAGCACTAATATTTATATAATAAATATATATTGTATGTTCGATAATTTGAAATAACAACGATATATATTATGCTCTGCCATGATATTCTAAAATGAAAATCACTTTTTTTATCTATTCATAGTTTAATTTGACTAAAAATAATAATTCAAAATGTAATTGAAAATATCTGTGATTATGTTATAATTATATTGCTTATTTTTTGCTCAGTTGGATGATCTTATATAATCCGATCGATCTATAATACTTTTTTAATAGTTTTCTTTAAATGCAGAATATTTACTTTCAATTATTGCGATTCTTTTTTTTATAAAGATGAGATCAATTAACCATCAAAGTTATTTAAATTATACTTGCATTATATATATATATATATTTATAATTGTTGAGTGTGGGACATAAAATGACCATAAGAGATAATAATTGTAATAATAAGTACATTCAGAGCCAAGCGAATTGTAACAAATAATATAGAAAATAATCTAGTTGATCAAAAAAAGGTATTTGGAATAATAGTGAGGCGTAAGAGAGTTAGCTATTTAACCATTAGGGTTTGATTCAAGCTCTGTAATAGACGCTTTGTTAAATGCAACCATTTTTTATGATAAGCATAATAGTACCATTCAATGACACAAGACTATTTTTTATGATGACTGGATTCAACGACGAACCAGTTATGTATGAAAGACGCAATAGTCAAATAACCCAATTACTTTGAGCAGTTCACTATATATGTTTGAATGGAAATTCTGATACAGAAAACACATTAAAGTATGTGATATTTTATCAAAAATAGCTTAATTATATTAATAATTAAAAATAACTGCAAATTGTTTGCATATTCAGCATCATCATATATTATGTATTATTATTCCTCAGAGAATTTTAATCATTAACTCTAGAAAACATTTTTTAATCTAGCTCACATATATCACAAGTGAATCGACTTTCAGAGTACAATACAATATAGTTTTTCTTTAAAGCATAAATTAATAATCATATAAGAATATTTATTAAGGAATTCAATAATATTATGAGAATACTACACTTAATTACACAAAAATCATCATTCCAAAATCTAGTAACTAAATCAAATGTAAAACTGTATAATATTACTTACTTATATTACTATATGGAAATAGGCTATTATTATCCGCATTATAAATTGACTTATAATATATATATATTTATTCAATGATTACCATAATATTACTCAAATTACTTTCACAACATATGCTATATTGCATCAAATTGTATATAATTGCAACAATTATAATTCATCAAAATTCCTGAAAAAATGAATTGTTGCAGATATTCTATTGTTTTGTGTACTCTCGTATTTTGAATACACAAATATTGTTATGCACAGCAACAGAAAATTATAAAACGCTTAAAATTATGTTATTCTAACGTATTGGTATTATCTTTTCGTTTTCCCATTTATTATCACCTCTTATTCATTTGGTAACTTATCTTAATTATTATCAACAAAATAAGCATTTAATTTCCACAATAATATTACAAAGAGTTGACTATTTCAAAATAATAATATAATATCGTTTATCCGAATTGGGAATTGTCCTAAAAAAAGACTTTAGATTACTCAATCATGAAAACCGGTTTAAACACTAGAGTTTATTCTTATCTGATAGATGTGAATAGTTCAATTCCCCTTTTGATTAATTTATTTGTATTAGTAAATATTAGTAATTTTCGAAAATTGACAATACAATCGTCACTTATACACATCGACCATTGATTTCAAGATTCATATGGTAAAATGTTGAATAAAAGTGTCATTTCATATTCTTTCATTTTTCAAGCAATTCGTGCTCAAACTCGTCATAAATACTTATATGTGTGAATATAAAAACAATTCTTTACATTAAACGTGGATCAAATTCGAATTTCTGCAAAGAAATGAAATTTTCTCAGTATTTCTACATATGACAATAGTTAATATTAAGGGATATTCACGGCGGGTCTGTTCTGTTTTTTCCGATAATAAATCGATATCTATTTTTCGTTATGCAATTCGTTTTATTATCGTTTAAAACACTGAATGAAAATACCAGACAAATATGAATAACCAATAATTAGTGTTATAGATGCAATATACCTAAACAAAGTTATATCAAAATACATTAATTAATAAAACTACAATTCTTATTTTAAAAAAATATATGAATATATATATATATATATATATATATATATAAATTGCTTATGCAGATAATACTTTTTTACTAGAAATCGTTATACTAATCATAACTTTATTTTTTCGTATCAACAAACAATGCCAATCTTCTAGCTTTGTGGTGCCCATTCTTCATCTACTGGACGAGATACAAATTTATAGTTTATAGGTGTATACGAAATGTCGGTGGTTTTGTAATATCTATTTTCGATTTTTATTTGATATGTATTTTGTATACTTAATAAATAGTTGTTTAGAATCTTCGTACAAAACTTTTCATTGTTTCCTCTTTCTTGCCGTAATGCTGGTAGTGCCTGGTATTTTGCATCCATTGATTTGATAGTGCCAATATTGTTCACCAATGCTGATAAAACAGCTTGGTCTTGTCTATGATTTGTCATATTCGATCTTCGTGGAGATATGCACCTCTGTGTATAAGCACATTGGTGATATGGTATTATCACTCTGTTTATGACAGTTTTATTGGACCAATCAGTAATCAAATGACCTCCACAACCCATTCTCCATTTTGGATCAAATGAATCAATAAAATGGTTTTGCTCTAAAAACTTGATCGTAGTAATATGTGTCCATTTTCCTGCACCACCACCAGATACAGGAGTATAGATTCCTTCAAGACGAGCACTTGTCACTTCTCTGCTGATTCCATCTCGGATAAGACTTCCTCCATCAATCCAAAAAGTGATTGCTTTCCACGAAAACAAAGCATCCATGTAGGACACCACTTTCCAAGTATAACCACCACGTTGATCCTTATTCTCAAACAGATTCATCCATTTGGGAAAAGAACTCCAATTGAATTTGCGATATGCGATAAACCCAGTGGATTTCATTTTCTTCTGAATCTGGTGAATTGTTTCGAAATGAGCAAACAACTTCTCCTTCAATTCAGGTGATAAACCTAAATCAATGTACATATATGAGGCATATGGATCTGCCAAAACCATAGAATAAAGACAATTAAAGGAACCATAACCATGATTATCTGATGCACCTGTCATCATCAATACGTCTGAAGTGTGTAAATGATAGGTGGGAATATCTCCAGTCAAAAGAAATGGTAATGATTTATTTGCAATTCCATAGTTCTCGTAGTGTGTTGAAACGTCTGATACTAATTGATTGAAAGGAACAGGATACTCAATATCGTCATAATCATATTCTATACAGTCATAAGAATGGCAATGCACTACGATTTTTGGAACAGCATCCAAATCTTGGCAGCTTTACAGGGTAGGAAACAACATCATTTACTACATACAGTGTTTGTACTGTCGAGCCATATACTTCTTTTGCTTCTTGACTTTTCCTTATAGTGGAAAGTATGTACATATATACAAAGAATGAGCAGAAGGAAAGTGCATAAAATATAAAATGCATGCTACTTTCTTGTTAAAAAGAATTTGAACTTTTTAACATATCTTGTTATGACCTATAATGCCATTTGATGTTATGCTATGAATGCATAATACTTTATGCATTTGATTCATTCTAGGCTTGTATTATTTGGACATTTGTAAGTATGACAAACAACCAAAATATCATTTTAGTAAAGTAGTATTGAGTCATATTACTTGTACATTGTCATACGAATGAGTGAGATATAGAGGTGAAGCAAGTTGTTGGCATTTACTTGTACAGCGAAAACTATTCGTAAGCAAATGTTACAGAACATTCTCCATATTATTCTAAATTAGTCTTGATATTATTATTATCACGTTTGTATCAGCAAACACAATGAAGTACTATAATGATGTGTTGTCGTATAGATTTCCTTTATGTGTATAATATAGATGAGGGAGTTCGGCAACTGCAAACTACTGTCGTCGATCGATCTTCATCTCCTCCCTGTTCATGTTTGTATCGAAAGCAATTTGCTGGTCACCTGTTTACAGCTCTATCAGAGTTGGAATACCGTCGATAACCCCGAAAGAGTCGGTAGAAGACAGCTGCAGTTACCCTCCACTGTCCGATCTCTTCCTTCCTATGTGAAATGGATGATTCATCACGCTGAACAAGATATTCTCAGCCGCAATCCTCCCACCCCGCTGTCTGCAATGATTTCAAAGCCATTATCGCGAGTTCAACTATACGAAGAATCGAGACATACTCGCATCGAGTCCTTAAAGATTTCACCTGTCAATCTGTCAATCTCTCTGGCTTTGGGATCTCAGTCTATGTCCTCGAGTTACGACTATTTTACTATCCAGGATTTGAAGTGTGTTTTCCCACAGATCAGTATCGATGAACGATATCCTCGACGAATCAGCTATGTGCTTTCTCAGCTATTGTCCACCTATCGCAAGTCCTTGCTGTTCAGTCTTCTTTATCGGTTTGGAGAGCAAAACACCTGGCAATCTCTATCGATTCGTTTCTTCCTTCTATCAGAACATCAAAACGTTGGGAGAGAATGTGATTACCGCTTTGTCCAATCTCACATTGTCACTTGTTCGTGTGCTTTCCTATGTGAGCGAGTATATCGATGCACAGATCGTGAATATATCTCTGTCTGGAATCAATGCAATGATGGGTTTCACAAGTTGGCTCTACATATTCTTCCAGCAAGTGAACGTTTTAGCGATTCCACACACGCTCCATGGAGAAATCACACTGCAAAGTCCCTACATCAAATCGAAAAAGCGCTATTCCTTGTTTGGAAGGCTGTGGAATCAGAATTCAACATTGATGTGGTATATGATAGGAACGATCGGAATGGTTTCGCGTCCTCTGAAAATGGTTCTCTTCGATTTCCAAACAATGCGACATTATCTTGACGGTGAATAAGTCAACAAAACGCGAGCCAAACCTCCCAATGTAGCGATCGGAGGCATTGTAATGGTAAGAATTTGAATTGGATTTGATTCATTGTAGCCTTTTAATGAGATTTACAGCAAAGGACGTGAGTTGTTGTCTCGTGCAATAGAAGATAGAAAATATGAGATGGAAGACTGTATTTCGGTGTATTGGTTAGGCAATGCATACCCATTGACGACAAGGAATCATTTACTGATTGTTCAGGAGAAAATATCGGAGATTGTTTTACGATGCTGTGTGGCTTTCGATGAATGCTACAAAGCTCATTGTCGGAGGAATGTGGATACGAACAATGTGGAGTTGTGTGTTTTGTGTGTATGAAGAATTGTTCGTTGTTCAAGAGTCGATGGGATCGGATTCAGTTGAAATTGGAAGAAGTATGTGTGAATATGTGGAAGAGTGAAGACACTGAGAAGAGGTGTGAGAAACTGATTGGTATCATCGAGAATGAGAGAAGAAATCACAGTTATAGTAAGTTTTGGAGAGGAGGAATGAGTTGTAGTTTGGAGATATCAATATTTGTTGAATACATTAGTCCAGTTGGAGTGACTTGTTTGTTGAAAAGTAAATGAGTGTTGTGTGTGATGATTTGATGAAATAGAAAGAAATGGAATGATTTGATTTGATTTGATTTGATTAGGAGTGTAAGAACAGATGATTCTTCACAGAATGAATGATATTGATGATTCTATCTTATGCAATCATTATCGATTGTCTTAATGTAGTTCAATGCACACTTGGTCGAAGAAATCCTTGCCAATGGTTTCATTCTATTTTGGTATTTCACCAAACATCCATCCACACACAGTATTCGAACAAACACTCCACCAATGACGATTCCACCCTTCCTTCCTTCCTTTCTTCATGTAGCCTCACAATCAGCTTAGAGAGAAGCTCTCTTGGCCTTCTCAGCAGCGATGGCAGCGGCACGAATGCTCAGCTTGCGCTGAGTCTTCAGTCCCATGATACCGCCACCCCACTTCTTGTTCTCGGCGTACTTGGTGGTGAAGCTCTCCTGCAGCGAGTTCAGCGCCGCCTCGTCCTCAGGGTTCACTCCCGTCAGACACACGCAAGTAGCGGTCTTCTGGTGCACCAGAGCGCCCAGACGGCCCTTGCCGCTCACGATCGCGTACGCAACGCCCATCTTGTGGCACAGAGCGGGCAGCCACATCACCAGCTCCAGGGGATCCACATCGTTGGCAATCAGAACCAGCTTGGCCTTCTTGCGCTCCACCAGCTTCGTCACGTTGTCCAGACCGTACTTCACAACCAGAGCACGCTTCTCCTCCACGGGCTTGCCCTCAGCCTTCGTCTTGGCAGCAGCCTCCAGACGAGCCTTCTTCTCGGCCTCCGTCTCAGGAGCGTACTTGTTCATCAGACGGAACACCTCAGCAGCCTGGTTCTTGTCCAACACATGGCTGAACTGGTTCACGGTGGGAGGAACCTTCAGACGCTGGCTCAGAATCTTACGCTGTCTCTGGATGATCACGTAACGGGGCCACTTCAGGAATCGGGAGAGATCCTTCTTAGGCTATGAAATTAGGCCGAACGGAACGCTATCGTACCAGAACATCTCCTCCAATGCGGAAGTTTTTGGGAGTAGCAGCAAAGATGGGATTCATAGATTTAGCAGAGTCCTTAGCCTTAGTCTGGATATTAGGGCAATAAGCGAGCAAAATACCGAAGACATAGCTTGAATCGTCAATGAAATAACTGGGAGAATTAGAGATCAACTATTCATCAACACCATATATAGAATCAACAACAAAACTGAGGTCATAGCATTCTCTACCAGATCTTTAGAGTTTCAATAGAGTAGTAGCATTCACAAGTATAATCGAAATGACATCATGTGACATACATATTCTAAGAGAACATTCCATAGATTTACAGCAAGACAGAATACAAGATAACTCCAGGAAGCTGCTAAGCACTTTTCATGTGATTTAGGAGAACAGCGACTGCAACTTGAAATTCTCGAAGAATTGTATCTCAAAATGGAATCGCTCAAAATAGTTGTGTTTTACAACTATGGAAATCTTCCTTATCCATTTTGCTAATTTCGGCAATCATGCTCTTTCTATTGATGTATTCATAATATAACAAACCAATCGATCAAATAATGATAGTATCATATTCGAAATTATGAATTGAAACAAACACGCCAATATTCCCAAAATAAATCTGTTCTTGGTTTTTTATTGTAATCTACATCCCAATCAAGTTTGGGTGCTTCATAAGGATAAACGGCTTTCTTCATTTCTGCACTAGATGTTATAACTTTGATTCCTTTGGCTGTGGTATTGCATGTGCCCCTTAAAAACCATGCTCTAGGTTTATATATTAGTTCTCTATCTTTTCCATTCATTATTTCACATTCATCTGGACTTCCATGAATCCATCGTAAAGGACCTGTCACAATTACTGAACTCCTGTAACAACGAGCAGGACCTGAAAATACTCCCTTTTCCGTAATGCCATGGGAAGCATAAAAATAGTTACTACTCAACCATCTAAATGAAAACAATTTGTTTCGGTACTCTTTCATGGTTGTATGCATCGGACTTTGATCATCAAAAATGTGTTTTCGTGCTTGGAGTTTATAGGTTCTTATCCAAAATTCATAACTTCCTTTTCCCCATTTTGATAATACGGCTCCTCCAGAAGGATAAGGTCCACGGTTCACTCTACAAGAAAACGATATATCGATCTTGGATTTTTTGAATAGATCAAAGATATCTGTATAGGACTTATTATCACAAGGATAAACATGAGTATCCGTGATAAAAGAATAATTGAATGGAAGATAAGCATTGTACAACACACGAGTGAGCCATTGCTTTTTACTGGTTTTCACCACATCTTCGTTATGAACTGGGACAATCACATCAATTAGCTTTGCAGTTGATGCAAGTATGTCACAGTTAGTAACTACAGCAATTTTGGCATTAGGATCTTTTGCCTTAACAGCTGCACTGTTCCTTTCCACCTCCTTTAGATATCTTGGATTTTCACCACATCTGTTTTGAGTATACAAGTAATAAACAATCCCTCGTTCCATAATTGGTGGTCGCGGATTAGGAAACGATTTGTGGACAAATAGAGATTGGATATGTCTATAATCATCAAATATAAATTAATAAATACAATTGAGGATAGCACTGAGTAGAATGGGCATATTCAGGATAGACTAACGTAGAATTACAAGCATTGCTTTGAATTTTAATTGCCTTCTTTGTAGTAATACTAGCTGTTATTCCATTTGGTTTTATCACAGATTTTATAGATTCTTTAGTCGATAGTTTCTTTCTTTAAGAAAAAGATAATATTTGAAAGAATGATGCTGACAACATATAGAAAATAGTATAGAAATAACTATTAAAATAAGATACATTATAAGGATTAGTATGTGCAAACTAGAATATTCTTCATATGAATCACTACTTGATCTGCCTTAAATAATCTTAAGTCAATCAAAATTATGCATGCTCTTTTGATTTAAAAATATACGATATAGGGAGCATAATTATGTTTGGGAAAAAGACTTTGAATACGATCAAAATAATATAACAATAACGACAGAGTACAGAAAAGCATTATCTATAATATAATTAAAGTAACAATTCCTACAGATAGAGTCATTATTTTGTGAACAAAATAAGAATGATAAAGCGATTTAGACCATTAGAACCATCGAAAGAATATTATCCATCAAATTATTCGCATTCGAAATAATACGTAATCAAATGAGCTGTTGAAAATACTAATATATAAACAACTCTATTAATATTTGTCTAACATATGAATGCTTTCGATTGTATCGCAAATATACAGTATTTTTGATATGAAGCTGATGATTATAATCGTTTATTTTAAAATATATTCAATGCAAAAAACTAACCCTATAATTTATAAACACGAAAGTGTTCATGCTATTGTCAAATATTAATGATAGTGTGTATACCCATACATGTTAACCCAAATATTATAAGTGATGAGGAATGTTTTCATTTATAGTATCCTTAACGTTCTATGTTTTTTTAATTCAGGATTACAAATATAATAGTTGATACAAGTAACTTATTTCAGTATATTAACACAACCGTTTTAAATTAACTGTATAAGAATCAGTAAGTATTATATGCAAACTAAATATTGTACCATTAAAACAATTGCTTTCATTTAGTGTGTTAATTTATCACTACACACATATCTAATTAAGCCTCAAGATTAATGGTATTTTATCTTGCTATTTCCTGATAATATCTCTTTATGAAAAATATAAATGAAAATCAATACATAGTTATTTAGTACTATTTCATAAAATAAGGAAAGAATATTTATGGTGAACAATAATCTGTGATATAAAAATACTTCATATTTATTATTCATTTCCTTATAATTTCAAGAGACTGCACTATCCATGCAGATAATAGTATTCAGCATTTACATTTTATTTCGACTACACAGGCACTATAAGATATGATATAATTAAAGATAATTTATTCTTTTACGTAATATATTATATTTCACAAAAATAGGTATATTAACTTTTCATTATTGTATTGGAATGACCAATATTTATAAATTATATTGCATGCTTAGCATTTTGAGATGGCCACCATTATACGACATTCCCAGACAACCACTAAGCTTG